TCCTGCTTGCTTAGCATAATGTCTGCACTCAGCAGTATCATCAAAGAAAAAAAATGAGCTCTTTCCTTTCAGCTGATATATGCCTGGTTTGTTAAATGAGATACCCCATCTCTAAGCCCAATGAAGTTGATTCTGACCTCTTGTGGAGTCTAGTAGGAACATTTTATAGCAGTACAAATCATGTAGTCCAAAGTAATAGGTATATATATAATATATATATATATATATTTTTTTTTTTTCTTTTCCTTCTTGCTTCTGTGATCAATGAAATGCTGTTTAAAACTGGTTTCTTCTTCCTCTGACTTCTAATATGATGTATGGTTTCTGATCATAGAATTCTTAAATATTGACATGTTTAATGATGTTTTATTTATTCAGTACGTTTATTTAACACACCCTATATGTTAGGCATTTATTAAGTGATGAAGAAAACTATAGAATTGATTGAAACAGTTCTTGCCCTTAAGGGAGGCAGAGCCTTCTAAGAACTTGTATAAACGTAAATATATAATTACGAAGAAATATGAAAGTAGTATTAACAGAGATTTATGTGAAGAGTTGCAAAATCTCCAATGTATTTGTGTATACTTTATCTTCCTAATTTGTAAGATTCTAAAATTCATTCACTTTAAACTTTTTGCCTGTATCCATTTCCATATTAATTTGAATTTATTTGAATAGTGTCTTAGTGTATTTTATGTTGCTATCACAAATATCTGATGCTGGATACTTTATAAAGAGAAAAGACGTTTATTTAGCTCACCGTTTTAGATAGGTGATAGTGAAAGATGGGGTGACACTTGTTTGTCTCTGGTGAGAAACCTCATGTCTATATCACAACATGGCAGATGGCATCCTCGTGGGAACATGCATGAGAGGGAAAGAGCCCAGGGCAAGTCAGGAAACCAGAGATGATCAGCAACCAGTCTTGTTCTTTTTATAACAATGGAGTCCTTTGAAAACTCCTCTAATCCTTTCAGAGAACAACATGCTCAATGACCTAATCAATTTCCACTGGGCTCTGTTTCTTAAAGGATATTACCTCTTGACCTCACCATACTAGAGACCAAGCTTCTAACCCATAAACCTTAAGAGGACAAAGTCAATCTACACCCAAACCATATCAGATACTCTTTAGTGTTGACTGGTTTTGTTTCATTTTTTGGTTTTGGAGGAACATATTCTCTAGAATTACCTAAAATATTATTTTTATTTAAGTACAAGCTACAGATTATGCAACATGTCACAAGTTTATCTGTGAACATACAAATTTCCTTCAGGCATTAATATCCTCTGCCCAAAGGATATCCTTTCACTTTTCCTGGTGCATGGCTTGCTGTCAATGAGTTCCCCCCCAGACAGAGAAATCCTTATGAGTCATAAAGATAAGTTAGTTTTGGAGAGTGACTGAATTAGAACAGAAATAAAACATAAGAGACATTTTAGGCTGAAGTGGGCAAGATTTAGCAACTCATTGGATGGTTGTGGGATAAAGTGTGACATACTAAAGTATCTTTTAAACACGGTGTCCTATGCAATAAAAGCAAAAGAGTAAATATTGAGGTAGTGTATCCAAAAGTAGTGTTATTTGAAGATTATAAGATTGTTCATTTGGAAAACCTAGAAACCACTGGAAAATTCCTATACTTAAAAACTGAGTAAATGTATGTGTATAACATTAATAGCATTCCTATATACAAGAAATAACCTATTAGAAAATATAATGGTAACCCGTAGTGACAGTAGGAGTAACAACAAAGCTCCCATACTTGATCAAAATAGAACAAGCATTTAAATAACTGGGCTAAGAAACAATTTCATATAAAAGATTGTGATTATATGAGAGGAAAATTATAAAGAACTTGAAGAAAAAAATGGGGAATTAGGAAGATAAACCTTGAATATTACCATGAACATATACCTAAAATTTCATATTTGTTCATTATTCAAATGAATCTGTAGATTGATATAATTCACCATAGAAATAAATTTGATTAATTTGGTGACTAATAAGTTGATCCTAAAGTTTATTTTGAATGAATGAGCACACAATATAAACAATACGTTTTTTTAAAATGCTGAGGTGATTTGTCCTATCAAGTATTAACATATGCTATAAAGTCATAATAATGCAAGCACGGGAGTGAATAGATTAGTGAAACAGAGTAAAAGTCATGACCATATTTAAATGTATAGAGGATTCATTTTCTGATAAGTAGAAGCCAAATTGGTGAAGAAGTAATGGATGGCAGTGTTGGAGAAAAGCTAGTGTTTTATCTAAATATAATTATATTTCTACTTTATAATACATGTTAAAATGAATTCCAGGCTGATTAGAGATTTGAATATAAAATAAAACCGCAAAATTCCTAGAAGAAAAATATATAAATATGTCTATAACTACTTATGTCTGATGATTTTCTAGCAAAAATAACAAAGATAGAAATCATTAAAAATAACTTGTGCCTCATTTAAAATATGTGCCTAAATTATTTAAAACTAAATATCATAAAATTCCACTTATGCATTTAAACTAAAACCAATGACTCATAAAATCTGGTCATGGACAAAGTCTAAATATAATGAATATATGAACCTAATTCACAATCGACATGGAGGAATAAAGAATTGGACAAAGCATATGACCTAGTTATTTGTGCAATGACAGGTATGATTGACAAAGAGGCACATGGCAAGATTTTTAGCCTTAGTCTTAAAATAGGGAATATTAGAGATAAAGATTAGGCTTCTTGAAAGAGCAAGTAGAATAGATCAGAAAACAGAAAATGAAACTATAAAAGAAGAGCAAAGAAAATGTCAAAGATAAGATGTGTGATAAGCTGTATTACTTTTTTATTATAAACACTTTGCTCTCTTGGGTGAAATATGCTTTCCTGCCATGATGAAGTAACTTTGGCAATGTAATTTTTGGGAGGGCCAAAGAAATGTCACTTCTAGGCAGAAGTTTTACGAACCATTTTATTTCTTGCCAAGGTTTTCTTTTCTTTTCTTTTCTTTCTTTTTTTTTTTTTTTTTTTTTGCTACCCTGATGGAGTCTGTACCAAACTAGAAACTATTCTACTTACCAGAATCTGGAATGAAAAGGTCATGTCACAGCCCCTCAGCCAGACTGATAGAAATGTAGTCTGTGGGAGAAAACACTATTACTATTGAAAGCCACTGAAATGATGGGGTGATTTGTTGCTTTGGTGGAACTTAATGTATCCTAACTGGTATATCTGACCTACTTACATTTTTGATTTCTTATTGGAAAATTGACCTACCCATAGGGAAGAGATTCCAAGCAAAATAGATAATTTATCCAAAGGATGCATACAAGAAAAAGAAGGGTGGGTAGGAGAGTGTGTTAACACACTTGACTTGTCACAGGTGGAAAGATTTAGGTAGAAAATGATGAGAAATAAATGAAGGGAAAAGGACATGGCAAAAAAGAATAAAGTGTCAGATGCGTGAATCTGAGATTTGTATTCATTGAGGATTAGACTTCAACAACCGTATTTCAATGTATGGACTACTAAGGTCTAGTTCCACTTTGGTTACATAATTTTTGGAGTGTTAAAACTTAGGTTCTTATTTCTTCCACCACTGCTTCCCCCACCCCTTATTCTGCATTAAAAATAAGGAAAACAAACATGTTAGAATTCATTTGGTTTGGAGTTCTTATTTGGTTTATTTTAATTTACTGTTTTCTATTTGACCAACTGGTTTTATGAACAATTTATTTATTTATTCACTCACTGAATTGTATCATGGCATCCATAAATGGAATAAAACTTGGTCAGCAGTTATAAGTAAATAGAGAAGACTCTTCAAATTGAGAAGTTACTTGCTTATATGTGCAAGGCTGTACCATGGATAGAGTGAACCCAGGTCTTGGCAAACAAATAAACCCACTGAAGACACCCTGGTTGGAAAGCTCTGTGTTATGCAATAGTGTGAGTCTGGAATGAGTGTACAGATGACTTTGTAGAAAGCTTATTCTGATTAAATTATGAGAAGAGAGAAGAAAATCATTTATATTCCTATACTTATTAAATGTGATCCAGAAAAGAGATGGGAATAAAATCGTTCAGATATGTCTTATATTTTAGGAATGAAACCATCTGACTCAGGATTCCTATTAACTTGGGTTGACACAGTCAACTACTATTCCAGTAGTTACTTCTAGAAGCTTTATTTATCCTAAAATATTCTAATTATAATCATATAATTCTAATTATATCCATAATATAAATATCTCTGTACTCAAATATTATCTCTATTTTTTCAGATAAAATTACTTCACACTGTCAGCCATGTAGATTTCTACAGGTCTGTCACTCATATTAATATGTGTTATTTCACTCAACTGTATTTGACTTATTCCCTTAAAATATACTCTTCAAGTATGTGATATAAATTATTTATAGTAAATTGGTATTTTGTTTACCCCTCTAACATGAGAAATGATTGCCTGCTTTTTATGGCATATTTATTGTTTTATTAATTATTATCATCTAAAGTATTTCTATGGAAAGAGAATAGCTCGAGTGGAACAATGACATGCCAAATTATCAGTAGATAAGTAAGTCTCATTCTATCTCTGTTAGAATTATGTTAGTCATAGAACTCATATTATCCTCAACGACAGTTTTACCAACAGAATCCTAATTATGTTTCTTGATAAAGCAACTGTCCTTTTTCCAAGGTGTCTAAAGAATAGAAAGGTATCCACAGAATTCGGGCAACAGAGAAATTGTGTGTTAGTATAAAGGTTTTTGTATCATAAATAAGACTAGAAAGCAGGTGTCCACAGCTGTACCTACTGCTGGACCTCATAAAGCACAGTGGCTCAGCAGCTGTAAAGCGCAGAGTTGCTATTTTTGTGCAGAAATTTCAGACTCATGGTGTGAGGCTGAGACATAAACTGTGTTGGTTTCTTTGGATGTCAAATGCACATGCTTTTTTTGCAGTATATTTATTGTCTTTATATCTCCTAGAAATACATTATTGTGGGGACACTGAGGACTTGCAGGTTGGAATTACCAACAGTTGTGTAGCAGGTTGAGATATCCTAAATGTGAGTACCAACCACTATTTGACTTTCTTTCTCACTATTTAAATAATTTTCCCCTTTTATTTTCCTTTTCTAAACTTTCCTGGATCGTATTCTTCTGACTTTCTTGATGTTGGAAGACCCCTGTTTCAGGCTTTAGCCTTATTTCCCTTTACTTTGTGTCATCTTTCTGGTGGTTATCTCTGATGTTCAGTACCAGTTACATTGGATAGCACCTACATCAGCGTCTCTGAATCAGTGTTTTTCTACTAAGATCCACAATTGTATATTTAATCCCTGGACATTTCAAGTTCATGTTGTCCCAAGTGAGTTCCTAACTGTACCTCAAATATTCAACTAATGTTTACCATCAGTCAGTGAAGCACTAAAAACTTCAAAGCTAAGGTATCACCCTATTGTTTCCCTTTTCTTTATTCTCTATATCTTATTGGTCTTTAATTCCTATCAATCAAATTTCTTTACTATTTCTTGTATTTATTCTCTTCACCCCATTTCCATCTTAATTTGTCCTTATCATCACTCACACTGTTAGATTAAGATCCCCAAAGGCCTTCTTGGAGAAGACAAGCCTTCTCCCTCTCCAATTTATTTTCCACTATGTCTTCTTCCCCACAACATAAACTGTGATTTTGAAACAAAAAGCAGATCCCATCACTCTATATCTTAAAACCTTCCAAGAGTTCTCCATTGCCTGGTCCATAGCATCCCTGTGCATACAAGTCTCTCTGGAACCAAGTATCCATGCTTCTCCAGCTGCATCTTTCCTCATATCACTTGACACTCCTAGAAGTGAGCACATGCACATGCTCCTTACTCTGGAAGAGTCCTCCACTGTTCTTTACTGGCCATACCCCTATTCTCCATTTAGGAATCAGCCCATACACCTGCCTGTGCAAATTCCTGGGTGAAATGTGCTTATATATTCAGGTTGTCACTATATCTTCCTTCCTCAAGCTTCATTTTAGCCATTATCATAGAAGGCCCTTAATCTATTGTCAATTTCTACAATAAACCGTATGCTCCTTCAGGAGAAGAACCATGTCTTTACATGCCCAGGACTTAGCCCAGAGCCTGGCACATGGTAAGGTGATCAATAAATGAATGAGTAAATAGATGCACAGATTTTTGCATTAAAATGATCCAGCATATCCTCTCTTTCTGTGTACTAAGAGAAATACTTTGAGAATGTCTTAGTGACTAATTAATTTTATTTGCCTATCAGATGAATAAGGTTATGGCACTTTGTCACTGGTATAACAGCTAAAGTACTGATGAGGACCAAGGTTGGCAGCTCTAAATTTCTTCTGCTTATTTATGCTTTTATGGATAATTTAAATATATATTTGCTTAGTGTCTAAGTCTTGAATACGCAGAAAGAAACAAAAAAAATGATTGATATGACTACATCTTTCTTTGATTAGATTTTAAAAGAATCTTTATATCTCCTAGAAATACATTTAGTGGCAGGTTTTCAACTTAAATATAAAAGCAAATTTTGTACTTTTGATATAGTAACCTTTATCTACATCAGTTTGAAAATGATTTAAGTGACTCAGATCTTACAGATTATACAATGATGTATTTTCTTAATCTCTGAGACCCCGTTCCATCTCTAACTCTGTGAATGGGGTGGGGATTGTTTTCATTTAATAAAGCATGATGTTATACCGAGAGCAAAATTATTGTTTCTGACAAGGCATGTAAGAATTTTGTTAGATCTGACTGAAATGAAAATGAAATAAGCTAATTTTGATTCAAAAGCTGCAGACTTTGCCTAGTTGTGAAATGAAGGTTTTGTGATGGTGTCGCCATAGCAACCAGCTCTGAGGGGCTGAGCTCCCAGTGCCCTCGTGCATCATCTCTAGCAGGTTATAGAGCCCCTATCTGGAGGAACAGTGTCAGCAAGTTAATAGAGAGAAATCACCAATGGAAACATTTACTACCACAAATTTGTGTTTTATGTAATTAACTAACTAATGATTACAATTCTTAAGGTAACTGCCTAAGCAGGTTACAAATTGAAAGTTTCCAATAGAAAACCCAAGGCCTTTTGTTTTTTTCTTAAACAAAAAATCCTCAATTGTTTCCTCTATTCTTTGCCTTTCCACTTGGAACTCTATGTTGAGAAGTGATTATAAAGGACAGCCTCTTTAATGGACAGGTGCTGGGAAAACTATAGATCCACATGCAGAAGATTAAAACTTGCCCCATTTCACACCCTGTACAAAAACAACTCAAGATGGATTGAAGACCTAAATGTAAGACGAGAAATTACCAGAAGAAACCACAGGAGAAGCACTTCAAGAGGTTGACACACTCATTGAATTTGGGATGAGACCCTAAAATACAGCAAATATAAGCAAAAACAAATGGGATTCCATCAAACTAAAAGCAGATTTTCTTCTCTTTTTTAAAGATATAATTTTTTTCCCCCTCAGTTCTACAGGTTTGGAGCCTTCGAGTCCAAGGACAGGGTGCCATTATGGTTGGATTCTGATGAAGATTAGCATCCCGGATGGTGCCATCTTATGGTGAAGAGGGTGGGGTGTCTCTCTCTCCTCCCACCCCTCTTTCCATCTCTCTCCCCTCTTAGTATGATTGAGGAAAGTGAGGAATGTTACAAGACTGGATAAGTTGGTGGGGGTCTGATCATGTGGGATACTATAGATATGATAAGCAAATTAGATTTTATTCTAAATGTGAAGTATGTAAATGTTGGAAGATATCAAGCAGGGTAGTAACATGATCTGATTCATGTCGATCAGATCATGTCAATAACTGTGACCGTTGAGTAGAGAGAATGGATTATAAGGGAAAGAACAAAAAACAAAAAGAGGAAAATCAGTAAAGAAATTTTCACTGTAGTCTGAATTAGAAGGGGTCTTGGTTGGAGCTGGTGACAGTGGAACTAAGGATAACTGTGCAGATTAGGATGCATTTTTAGGGTATATCAGTGTGGTTTGTTGGACAGATTGGATTCGGAAGTTGAGGGGTAGGGAAGATCAGGGACACTTACAAATTAAAGACATCTCTGCATTTTTGGCTTGAGTGTCCAGGTGGATGAAGCTGACATTTATTGGGATGCAGACAGCTGAGTGAAAAACAAATTGTAGAACTGGGGGATGATAAAGAGCTTCATTCTAGGATTAAATCCAATTTCTTCAGTCTGCTACCCACCTGTGTGTACCTATGTTGAATTAGGTGCTATTTACAAAGTATTATTTAATATATTTATTTGGATTGACATGTGGAAAAATCTCTGTAGTTTGCTAGTTTTTACTAAAACTCAGGTGAAATCATCTACTGAGAAAAGCTTACTGACTCTAGAATCCTATTGCCCAGTTTTTAGGAAAGGTCAATTCTACTCCATTAATCACTAAATAGGCATAATCGCTTGTACTCTAAATTGTAAAATTGCCTCCTCATAATTTACCAGACTTCTGCAAAACCCCTATTAACCCACTGCAAGAAATATTCACTTCCTAAATGAATACAATATTTGTATATCAGCCAGAACTAGAGAGGCCCATTGTCACATTATGAAAATGAGCTTTCTTTTCCCTTGAGGTAAATTGCAGATTCTTGCAAATAATATAAAATGTGACCTATGTTGCATATGATAAGGGAAATATTTCCAAATCATCCAAATTGTTCAACAAGACAGGCATTTTTTTTCACATATATTTTAATTGCTGTAATGGCAGCCTCAGAGCTCATTAAAAAATTTAAGGCACCATTTCTTGGGTGTAAAATATTTTTATTGAGAAAATGAATTTTTCCTGCCTTGAGAATAGCTCTCTAATTAGAAAGCACATACCATTAGTAGGAGTATACACATTAAACATACACTCTGATGAATTGATAATTCATCTCAATCTCAAATTATAATCACTTTATTACCTTTCTGCAAGAAGGAAATCTCCAATGAAAGGGGGGAAAAAAAAGTAGAGATATTTCAAGAAATTGGACTTTTCTTGGCTCATTGAGGTGTTTCTTGGACAGTCCTGGTTTCCTTGGTGGTTTATGAGATAATTTGGTTTTATTTCTTGTTCCTTCAGCAGCCAGCCAGTTGACATTTGAACCTGCTGCCTCCAACACTGCCACCCTGACAATACTGTCATATAATTGCTTAAATATTATTTTGTAAAGATATCAAATTTTTTTTATCTTCTTGGAAGGAGCTGTGATAAAATTTACATAAGTCATCATTACAATATCCTCCATTTATTCTAGACATTGCAGTGATTATATAAAGGGTCTAGTCTATATCTTACCGCAGACTCTTAATAGTGCCAGCAGAAAATGGTCGTCGGCTATTGTCACAGAATCAGCAGTTTTAAGCAGTGTATAATACATTAGCTTTCAAAATTTCTTCATTAGAAACTCTCCAAGTTTAATTTACTCAACTATATGGAGGTTAAAGATCTGCTGGGAAAGCACTCATCATTAACAGTGATTATTCATCATCACTCTTGTAGGCAAATTTCACTTTTGGAGACTTTTTTCTGCTAAGGAGAATAAATGGGAGTTGAGTTATCAGGGGGAGAAAGTTCTAGGCCATGATTCTAAGGCCTGAGACTTAAAGATGGAGGGGAAGTGAAGTGTCACCTTCAGATGGGAAAGTTGGGTCCAAGTCAGGAGAGGGAGAGGGTCAAAGGTCAAAGGCAAGAAAGGCAGAAGTGGAGAACAGGCCATGTTTTTCTCAGCGTGAATTTGGTTTAAACAGGCTTCCTCCTGACTTTAGATCCCTGACTTCTTTTTCTTTAGAGAATATATATTAGAAAACATGCAGTTATAAATTCTGCCCTCTAGAAAATTTCCTACATCCCAGGAATGTCTTTCTCAAGACCTGAGAGCCATCCTTCGATGTGTACATTGGGGGGATGGATAAGTTCACCCTCTCCCAGTCTCTCTGGAGGTTGGAGGGTAGGAGCTTCCTTTGGTAAGTATCCATTACAAACACAGATGGCACAATCATCTTGACTACCCTCTCTCCTGCAGTT